AAACCGTGCCTTGAACAATCCATATATTATATCTATATGCTAGTGTGGACAGACTTTTTGTATTTCACAGGTGGACAAAGTGTAACCTTCTGAAATATTATCAGACTGCAACCCCCCGGCATTCCCCACCAGTGGCTATGCTTGCTTATGACACCGTATAATGACACCTGAAGGACTGCACTTTGCTCACTCTTTAGCTGTGCGTAAATACACAGCCATATACCAGAAGTGCCTTTACAGCAAGGGTGGGCCACACAGCCCCCCAACCCTCCTCTGGCTCCCTCTTTTTTCTAGAAAAACAATGAGAGAGTGGATTGAAACTTTTCAAAAATAGGTCACAGGCCTCCCCTGCCCCATTTTAATACCCACAAATACCCGTTTTTCAAAACTGGAAGTAGCTTTTAATCACTTCAAGTTTTCTTTTGTGTGGGCTTTTCCTTCCCTTTCTTGCTGTCACTGGCCTCTGTGTGGATCCTGGAAGATTCCATGGCCAGAAAACTGAGCCCTGAGATCCATCACAGTTGTTCATCCCGATTTATAAATGTGAACCTAGTGTTTTTTTTTTTTAAAAAGACATTCTTGTACAGTAGTTGGATAAAATATTGTCAAGTATATATATATTTTTTGCCCAGCCCACAACCTCATTTGGGCAGGCTCTTCCAATAAATTATTGCTCAGAGTTCCTTTCAGAGCGCTTGATTTCAGCTGCTGTTGCAGGACTCCCTTTAAATTAGCAGAAGATGCTGTAGCTTTAATCTGTGCAAAAGAATAACGAAAATCAAAAGCACGGCACAAAAAGCGTTTCTAGTAAATTATACAGGAATGGCTGACGTCTAGCCACCGCTGGGGTACCGCTTTGTGCTTTTTCCTTGGGCTGCAGCTTTGCCTGGAGCAAGGTCTCCAAACTGCACTGCCGCCCTATATCCCTCCGCCAAGGAGAGGTAGTTACAGAAACTTTTAACTCACATTTATCTGGAGACTCTGAAGGGATTGAGCGGGTCACTCTTTCACCTCTGCAAGCTGTCCTATAAAAGTGAATAATTTATATAGGAGGGTTTATCTGTTTTTTTCTTCAGGAGTACATTAAGAAGGTTTTTCACCGTGGGAAGCCTCCAGGTCCTTCTAGCCATAGGAGTTGTACCAGCGTCTTACCCTTGTTCAGTGTCACTCTGGCAACGCTCGGCTTCTTTCAGAATGCAGACCATCGGGGAAGAACGAGGGCTTTCCTCTGAGCGGGACCTTTCTTATTCCTCTTAATGTGTCTTTAGTACTGTTGGAATAAGGACAACACCGAGGGGGCTCAGGCAAAATGAGGAGTCCTCGTTCTTAAAAAAAGGACTCACAAGAATGAGGTGTAGTAACTACTTGTGTTTACAGTCTCTCAGAGTGACACTTGTTTGTTCCTTTTTACTGTTTTTGCATACTTATTGTTTTAGCTTTAATATTGTTTTTTAACGATGTAAGCGGCCTCTTTATACTTATTGTTCTTAGCTTTAAAATGGCATTTTAATGATGCAAACCGCCATTGTATGCTTATTGTTTTCAGCTTTAGATATTGTCTTTCAAGGATATAAGCCACCTTGGGTCCTTTTTAAGGAGAAAGGTAGGGTAAAAAAATATTTTACATAAATAAAGTGAACGATAGAACTGATTGCTACAAGTATCTGGAGACTTCACAGTTATGGCATTCCCGTTGGAAAGTCATCTTGCCTCTGCTTAAGTAAAATCACTGAAGAAAAGTCTTTTATCGCTCAAGGAAGCTGTCTCTAGGATTGAACAATTCTTATCCTCAGGAAACACATCCTCAAATTTAATTAGAATCTGCTTCCTTTCAATTTACACTTACTGGTTCCAGCCCTATTTTCTGGAGCAACTGAGAACATGGCTCCCTTGATCCATGGGTATGGGAGATCAAAGGCTGTAGAGGTTACTTTTATGGACTAAAACTCCCAGAATCCTCTCCTTAAAATGTCCAGTGACCAAGGGTATTGTAATCCAAGAAAAAACCTTTTCAGTTCTGAAATAATGAGATCATTTGTTGGATCCAGAATCTGCCTGCCAGGGATAAAAGGATTCCCCTCAGATTGCTTCTTATCCTATGGAGGAATCTGGCCTGCAGAATCATAAAATCATAGAGTAATGAAGTTGGAAGGGCACTATAAGGTCATTGAGTCCAATCCCCTTTTCAATGCATGAATACAAATACAGTGGACCCTTGACTTACAGACGGCTTGACTTACAGACTTTTTCAGTTACAGACTTCTCTGGCTGCAAAATTTAGGTTTGACTTGCAGACTGAGATTTGACTTACAGACCAGAAAAAAACCAAAATGGAACAAAAAAGGCCTGTTACGGGATTAATCGGTTTTCAATGCACTGTAGGTCAATGGAGACTTGATTTACAGACTTTTTGACTTGAGAACCGCCTTCCAATACGGATTAAGTTCTCAAGTCAAGACCCCACTGTAAAAGGAAAGGCGATTAGCTTGATCCCCACTGGTTTCCACTGCCCCAGAGCTAGAGGTTGAGAGTTCAATTCCCCACTATGCCTCCAAGGGGAAAGAGCCAACCTGTGTGACCTTGGGCAAGCTCCATAGTCCCCGTGCCACTCGCAGGAGAAGAGAACTGTAAACCACTTCTACGTACTGGAAAACCCTAAAAAAGGTTGCTGGCACATGAATATTATTATGGGAAGATAACTAGCAAAGATCAGCTCCACTCTGATTACTTCTGGCGGGCGATTACAGGAGACCCCCCCTCCCAATTTACAACAGTTCACTTTACAACTACACACTTTTACAATAATTCTACTAGGATGTTGTGATTTCCTTACCGTGTGTTCAAACAAACAAATAATTTTTGTGCTATCAATGACTGGAAGTGTGAACTGTTGTATTTATGTCATCAAGCACAACAGCAAGACCACAGGAATGGGAAAGAGAAGGGAGAAGACAGAAGAGTTTGGAGTGGGAGCTCTCAACGAGCAAGAAGAAGAATGTGGGGTGTGATTTACCCTTCCAGGGTGTGAGGAAGAAGCGAGGAGACCACAGAAGGGGCCAGAAGCGAGGTCAATGGAGAAGATGGGGAAAGAAATATAGATGGCTGATATCAAATGGGAGAGAATGAAACCGGAAGGGAGAAGTGGGAACACAACAAAAGAGTGCCCAGTGAGCAGAGAAGGGAGGTGGAGAAAGGAAGAAATAAGAAAGCACAAGCCAAAGGGGGGAAAAGAAAGAGAAGGGAGGAGACAATAGAAGAATGCTCAGCAAGCAAGATAGAGTAGATGGGGGTAAAGAAGAGAAAAGGTAGCAAAAGCCAGAGGAAGGAAGGAAGGAAGGAAGTAAGCAAGCAAGCAACTAAGCAAGCAACTAAGCAAGCAAGCAAGCAAGCAAGCAAGCAAGCAAGCAAGCAAGCAAGCAAGCAAGCAAGCAAGCAAGCAAGCAAGCAAGCAAGCAAGCAAGCAAGAGAACAGAGGTATGAAGCAGAAGTGAAAAGATAGCCAAAGATGGCCCAGGAAGAAAGCTAGGAAAGGAGGTGGGGTGGAGAGTCCTATTCAAGCCTCATTCTCATTCACAGAAAATGAAGTGAGGTCAACCCATAAGAATGTCAATGTTCTATCTTGATTTGCAGTTGGCCCAATTGTGATGAGAATTTACCAAAATTTACAATTTTCTTCGTTTTCAGGATGCAAAGGACTAGGGGTTTTTTAAAAACGGAATATGGGATAACTCATTAGATTAGGCATCCTTCAGTCTCGAGAGACTATTGTAACATGCTCTGAATGGAGGACTTGGAACAGCGTCTAGTGTGGCTGAGAAGGCCAATACGAGAGTGACAATCCCTTCCACGCTGAAGACAAATACAATCCATCCCCTGTCCAGCTCCCTGATTTTGCTGGTTTTGGGACTGCCTCTTTGCCTGGCCTGCTGAACAAGAATCTCTTCAAAATGGGAGAGGCCATGATGCCCCTCCTGCCTCCAGGCTGAACGCTCAGATGTCAGGGTTTCCCATCTGTTGAGGACCATTCCTAAGGCCTTCAGATCCCGCTTGCAGATATCCTTGTATCACAGCTGTGGTCTTCCTCTGGGGCGATTTCCCTGCTCTAATTCTCCATACAGGAGAGCTTTTGGAATCCGACCATCAGCCATTCTCACAACATGCCCAAGCCAACGTAGGCATCACCATAAATGCTAAACATTCCAGCTCAATCTAGGACTACTCTATTTGGAACTTTGTCCTGCCAGGTGATACCAAAAATGCATCAGAGACAACGCATATGGAACGTGTTCAGCTTCCTCTCCTGCCATGCACAAAGGGTCCAGGACTCACTGCAGGACAGGAGTGTGCTCAGGACACAGGCTCTATAGACCTGGATCTTGGTATATGCCGCCAGCTTCTTATTAAGCCATACTCTCTTTGTGAGTCTAGAGAACATGGGAGCTGCTTTGCCAATGCGTTTATCCAGCTCGACATCCAGAGAGAGGGTGTCAGAGATCGTTGAGCCAAGGTACACAAAGTCATGAACAACCTCCAATTCTTGTGTGGAGATGGTGGGATAACTCATATCCTATAAACTTTAGGTGGTAGGCTGTGGCCGTTGTCCACCTAAAGCCCTAGGCTTTCTGAGTGGTTTGTATTGGGACTTAGAACAGTATCCTTGTGTATTTGCTCATACTAAAAGGGTCTCCTCTGGGTTCAAATGCACACTATTAACCTAGCCTGCCTTACAGAGTTCTTACAGGGAGGAGAGCCATATGATGGTATTTGGAGCACATGGGAAGAAAGGCAGAATTACAGATGGACTGCAATAATAATAAGCAGACCTACACCCCCACTTACTGTTGTGGATCAACTTGCTATTCTAAAGCCACAACATTTACCTAGGTTTGTGCATTTTCCTCCTAGTTAGTGGGCAATTCTGCTTTCACACACCCCCACCCAAAAATTCTTTCCCTTCCCCATAGATGAAAAGATGACTTTTAATGGCAAAGTTCCTTTCTTTCGCTGCCACCAGCCTGTGGCATTCAATTAGCAGAGTTACAAGTTTGTAGGCCAATTAGCAGGATGCTTGACTCTGCTGCAGTTGTCAGCTGTTGACCTTGCAACCCACTTCCCTCCTCCTCCCTCTGGACATGTTTGCATTGCAGATCTTGTGTGTGTGTCATGGCTGGCCTTTCGTTTCCAGGGAAGCAGCTGCAGAGAGAGAAGGGTGAAAGGAGGCCCCCCACAGCCCAAAATCAATGCCATGCATGCAGCACCTTGACTTCCTTATCAGCCATTTAATCCCACTGCTGCCTAATACTGGAAGCTGCAGTATTGATTTACGCTTCCAAGGAGCCTTGGAATCAGCTGTCAATTTCCACCGCCCATCCTCTCATTCACCCTCATTCCACCAGCATGGCCCATTACATCTATCATGTCCTATGTGATGATACGTTAGGAGATTAAGATTCGGGATGATGGAAAATGTCACGTCACTCCCTTTTTTGCATTCATAAAAAGCAGGTCAGCTTCTTTCCATCCCAAGTTTCAAATTCATGAAATTTGCTATATTCTGCAAAACAACCGAATGAATGAACAGGACAAAATTCAATGTATGTAACAGCCAAATTCAGGAGATAAAGGTATTCCCAACTAAGGAAAAGACAATACAGAAATTGATTTCCATAGAGCTGTTTAAGATGAGGAATCTTTCAGGAAAATAGAGGGGGAAACACAAGTAATGATCAGTAGACAATTTTGGTATTATTATTTCTTCTATTTATACCCTGCCTTTCCTCCAATGAGTTCAAGGGAGTGGATTTGGCTTTCTTCTCTCCACTCCCTTTGCACAATAACGGTACCGTGTTTCCCTGGGTCTTATATTAATTTTTGCTCCAAAAAACGCATTAGGGCTTATTTTCAGGGGATGTTTTATTTTTTTCATGTACAACAATCTACGTTTATTCAGATACAGTCATGTCATCTTCTCCTGGTTGCTGCACAAGGGTGGAGGGCGGGGTTTCACTTAACTAGGGCTTATTTTGGGGGTAGGGCTTATATTACGAGCATCCTAAAAAATCATACTGGGGCTTATTTTCAGGTTAGGTCTTATTTTCGGGGAAACAGGGAGATCAGGCTAAAAGAGTGGGACTGGCCCAAGGTCACTCAGTGAGTTTCATATCTTCTGGGCCTCAAATGCCTCCCCATCGACAGCCAGCGTGCACTCAGCTTTCCTCACTCTACAGCTAAAATCCCCAGCCTTCCATGTCCACATGCTTCTGAGGCATCATCCATGTTGCTGCCTCCAATGCCCCAGTCCCCTTACTCTTGAGGAATTAGAAAGCCCACTCTTGTGACTGCCTCTTTCCTAATTAATATGCTTTATTTTTTAAAAAATGTAATTCTTTTAATATTTGTGTTATAAAACCATGTCTGGGCCACCCTGCGTCCCTCTACAGGGAGAAAAGCATGATAGTGAATGAATGAATGAATGAATGAATGAATGAATGAATGAATGAATGAATGAATGAATGAAGGCAATTGTCATTCTAGCTGAAATCACATTAGTGTTGCAGAATTGTGATTCCAGCAGACCTTTGAGTTCTGGAAATCAGATTTGACCATGAAGCCCATGTTTATATGCAGAAGACCCCCCGTAAAAGAAAACAACCTAATTTGTAGACTACAAGGGATACTTTCGCAAACATTGTCACTGGACTCCCTTAGGAATGGAGATCCTTTATGGAGTCCGTGACTCAGTGGCCATAGGAGCTAGTGGGCTGCTGTGTGCATTCACCTTGGTGGGCCATAGGTTGCATGGGATGGTTTAAAGGAGCTTTCCACACGTTGTGATGCATTTGCATTGTGGCTCCTTTTATCTCTGCACAACAGTGTATGGGTTTTCTATTCCTTGGTGGCTGAGTCCTGAATCCACATCTATTGCAGTTAGATCTCTGAGGCAAGGGAGCTGGTCAATGCACCTTTAGTATAATGCACATGTGCACTAATGCACAAGTATGACTACCAACCCACAGTGTAATGCACCATCTGCTATTCTACACGCCTTTGAAGCTGGTTTTGATAACCTCTTCTTGGTTTTTTTTTTAAAATGGGGAATGACCATTGCATGTTAGCAGGACAGGCTACTCCATGTTAAGACAGGCTATTGCATGTCAGCATTATTTTTCTCAGTGCCTAAGGGAAAGAACAGGGTGGATACTTTACTTATTGATAAAGGAAGAGACGTTCCAGTAGGATTCTGCTGAATAGGATATGCTTGAAGGTATGACATCTATGGAAAATACAGGGCTGGTATTATGATCATGACTTTGATTTCTCCAAAGGGACCCTTCCAGTTGTAAGATCGTTGTCAATCTGCAGGCTGCTTTACGAAGGAAGAGCAAATGGGTCTCTGCCCCAAGGTGACTCCACTATAAGAGGGCAATGGAGACAGTGATGAATGAGGAAGAAATGCATTTTTGTAACACCAAGGAGAAGAAGAGGAGGAGGAAGAGGAGATCAAGGCCAAAATCCTGTTGCTCAGTCTAATAAATCACACTAATCAACTCATTGTGTCAATGAGGATTTAGCAAATCAAATCTGGAAGATGCAGAGATTCTAAAGGGCCTACTCTTATCACAGCTTACTACACTAAAGTAAGCCAGAAGTAGAATAGGCCCATTTGAATCAATGGAATCCATTTCAGTCCATGGAGGACTTGACTCACCCAATCCCCATTGATTCAATGGGCCCACTCTAGTATGATTTGTTATGCTCAGCAACAGCAGTTTGGCCTGTGTCGCTTTACAGAAGTAAACAAAATCTAGACTTCAGAAATACAGACCAAACTCAAAGTCAAGGTGGCTGGTGCCTTGGTTAGGAACAATCTGTTCCTATTTAGACTTACCTGTCGTGCAAACTGGTCCTGTGAAGCGTCTTTCCCCTCCGGGGGATTAAACAGGAACGCTCTCAAAGGGATGGCAAAATTGCATTAGCAGACTTTCTTTGCAACAAAGTTGGGCACCTTCTGTCTTTCATCTTTCAACTCTGCTGAATTCTCCTCAAGGCAAGTTTCAACGCCGGTCACACTCCCTCACCCACCTCCTCCCAAATTCGCCTCCTTGTTATTCCGAAATCAACGTTCCCCAATGCAGGGTTTAGTATCTTCTAAGCTCACCTGTTAATTTGCAACTTGAGCCTTTGAACTTTTTTTCGCAGGCTTCTTGGCTGCGAAGGCTCCCAGGCCTGCTCTTCCTGGCACAGCTGAGCACAACAAAAGAAAAAAAAATCCGTATGCTGAGGTGCCTCGGACCAGACCTCTTTCCCTCCCCCTGCATAAAGGGGCTTATTGATGGAATCTTGCACACAAAAGGCTGGCTTGTCGCAGGGAACAATGGCGGGGACTTAAAAGCAAAATCTGGAGCGGTACAGTGCTTTGAAGTTTGGTTGGGTGCGGGAAGCATCTTTATTGGTGCTGATAATGGAAATGTCACCCTCCTGATGGGTGAGGTTTGCAGAGACCATGCGTTGTTCTGTTTTCTGCCGCTGCTTGTTGTCCCCCTGACCTCCATCTGCTCACTCCAGTGAGCACTACATTAAAGAGAAACTTAAACCCTCGGGATCAAGTTGGGATAAACTGGTCATACTGCATTCAACCCTGTGGGGTTTTGTCCCTTTTTTTTAACCCCATATCTCTTTTGTAACAAGGCCAATTTTATTTCTCCCCATACAGGAGAGGAAAGAAGTCACCAGGGTCAAATCCGATAGAGTAGTCATAGAATAATAATTTAAACAAGAAAATAATAAAGGGGGGGGCTACTATTTTTAAGATACTTCAAGATATGCCAAAGATACTCTATGAGGAGCATAAAGTAGCAAGGGTGTGAAATGACTGCTGAAAAAGATTGAAAAAGAAAGTGCAAAAGCATGAATACAGTTGAACGTTCATCATCGTCATTTTTTTGTCTTGGAACTGAAGAGCTGAAGGGATTATATGGATCATCGAATCTAGACCATGTAAAGGAAGCACAGTGGGGAACTGAACTCCCAACCTCTGGCTCTGCAACCAGATACCAAAACCACTGAGCTATCCAGCCGTTCAAGAAGACAAAAATAATGATTACAGAAGAACTGTGCAACTTTAATGCTGAAAATGAGTAAATTCACATTGTTAAAGATTTTCTATACTGTGGTTCAATCATCAATCCAAATGGAGACTGTAGCTGAGAAATTAGAAGACGACATGGAACCACAAGCTAATTCATGATATGGTGTTCCTAATTACTGTACAGTATAGGTTGTCACTAATGAAGAAAGTTGACAGGAAAGAAAAATCAACTCATCTGAAATGTGACATTGGAGGAGAGCCTTATGGATGCAATGGCCCATCAGAAAGAAAAGTAAGTTGGTTCTAGCTCTTGGCTTCACAGGTGTTGGTGGGGATGCTGATTTTGGCACAACCCTCCTGGCATTGGTGGCTGGGTGGTCTAAACAGAGAGATGAGCCCTGGGATCTCTAGTGACTTTGCCAAGAATGCTAGCTTAGAAGCTCGCCCAGCCTGATGGCATGTTGCTTCCACACTTGGCAGCCAATGTGCACAGCAGAAGTTCGGATGTTTGTGGGTCACCTGCAGTCTTAGAGAGGCCATGTTTCATTGAGGGCTGCTGTGCCACGCGAAACTGGGGACTGCATTTGGGTGGTTCTGGTGATTTACCAGCTCCAAGTTTCAGTCTGAACATTGCAGGAGCTATCCAGAGTGCTGAAAAGAAATATCCCCCAATTCTTTCAGCACCTTAGGAAGCTTCTGTAAAGTTCAGGCTAAAACCCAGAGCACATTCCCCACCACTGTGACAGTGAAGCCACTTTCCAAAATGCTGAACTCTGCTCTCAACGGAGGCTCAACACTTTGGATAGATTAAGAAGTCTCATGGCATGGTGGCTACACTGCTGTCCTTGAGCCAGGACTCTGCTCATGGGTTCATGAGTTTGATGCCAACAGGCTCAGGCTTGACTCAGCCTTTTGTCCTTCGTAGGGCAGTAAATTGAGTACTCAGCTTGCAATATGTAGCCTGCATAATTATTTTTACTTTTGCTTACTGTTGATGTAAAGTTCAGACCAAAAACCCAGACCCAATTCACAATTACCTTCCTAAATTTGAACCAACACCCTTTATTGTGTTGTACGCACACTTAGATTGACCTAACTGGTACTTCTATTCTCATAAGTGCAACTCTTGCATCACGTGGCACAGTTGCACGTGGCTGAAAAGACATGTCTTGAGCTCATCTTGCTAGGCTGGGCTCCGTTCAGATTGGGGAAGTCAATGGAGATCCACTCAACCTTCATTCTCCCAACAGATCTCCTGCAAGTGCAAGGTCTTCTTTCATCCTTGGATTGCAGATTCTTGATCCAAACTACAGCCCGAGGGTCAAACCATACATTAAAAGAAGTGCATATTTCCTAGAACGTTTTACCTCAGACAACATTGTTCCTTTAAAGCTGGATGCCTAAGCAATCAGAGGTGCAAAGGAAGCTTGCATTTCCCTTCTGATGAGCAATCACAGAATAAAAACAAGTCGACTTGCAATGCGTGGAGTGAGACAAGGTCATGCCAGGAGAGGCGCACATCTTTTACTGTTTAAGGGAGCTCAGCGTTTAATGACGTGCTAAATGTCTCATTTAGTTTAACCTTGACAACTTGGTAAAACCCCTACCCCTTGCTGTTGACAATCCTCAATTGATTACCTGCTGCTGTTGCGTTATTTGGGTTCTGTTTTCCAATATCGGCGTTGTAAGAGCTTCTGAATGTCATCAGTCATTTTTGCCTCTATATTGTGGGAGTTTAGAAATGCCACCAGCTCCCTTGGGATCGATCGCCTGAAAAATGGAACACAAATGTTTTTTTCGGTAAGTACAAGAAAATATACAGACCTTGTATTGTTGAGTTCTGTAAATTAATTACTTCTTCTGTAAAGATGACATAGTTTAGTAGGGTTTTTTTTGGTGCTTTTTTGTTTTTTTGACTGAGGGCTATTTCTGTCCTGGCCATCGCCTGGGGAAAAGGGTCTTTATTATTTTTATTTTACTTTATTTAAAATATTTTTACCCTGCCTTTTCCCTCACATCAGTAGTTCCCAATCTGTGTGCCACCATGCCCTGAGATGCTGGCAAACCCAGCTAGGGGCACCACAGAATCCCCTTCCAGGCTGGAACTCTGTGTGTGTGTGTGTCTGTCTGTCTGTCTGTCTCTCTCTCTCTCTCTCTCTCTCTCTCTCTCTCTCTCTCTCTCTCTCTCTCTCTCTCTCTCTCTCTCTCTCTCTCTCTCTCTCTCTCTCTCTCTCTCTCTCTCTCTCTCTCTCTCTCTCTCTCTCTCTCTCTCTCTCTCTCTCTCTGTGTGTGTGTGTGTGTGTGTGTCTGAAACAGTTACAAAGCACCCAGAAGCTGCCAGCTTGTATTCCAAGGAAACTCTAACCCAGCATGGCGGGCAGGGCTAGTCAAGGATGGGAGGGATAGGATCAGGTCACAGTGGGTGATGTCTGGCAGTGACACCTATGCCACAATGGGGAGGGGCACAACCTGTTCATCTTTGTTGACTCACTCCAGGCCTCTTCTCTCAGTATTGGGGGGGGGGGAGGACCGGCTCCTCCCCTGCTCATAAATCTTTTCAGGGGAAGGAGGTTGGGGCACGTAAATAGCCCACTCATTTCCCCAGACCCTTTGTCCATCCATACCCAAACTCTTAACCAGAAGCCAAACGAGAGAAGAGGGCGCTATACAGAAAGGGTGAAAATGATTTATCAAAATATTATCAGAGAGAATAGGGAATAGGGATGTGGTGGCGCTGTGGGCTAAACCTGTGCTGCAGGGTCAGAAGACCAAGCAGTCGTAAGATCGAATCCACGTGACGGAGTGAGCGTCCGTCGCTTGCCCCAGCTCCCGCCAACCTAGCAGTTCGAAAGCATGCAAATGCAAGTAGATAAATAGGGACCACCTCGGTGGGAAGGTAAACAGCGTTCCATGTCTAAGTCGCACTGGCCATGTGACCATGGAAGATTGTATTCAGACAAAACACTGGCTCTATGGCTTGGAAACGGGGATGAGCACCACTCCCTAGAGTCGAACACGACTGGACAAAAGTTGTCAAGGGCAAGCTTTACCTATCAGAGAGAAAAAAATTGAAGTATAACTAAGACTGTGCTTTCCCCCCTCTCTTCTCCCTCCCACCCAAGGTATGGTATTGGGGAGCCTTAGCTCAAGGGAGCCGTGAGTTGAAAAAGTTTGAGAACCACTGCCCTACGCCATTAGAGTGGCCATGGCTGTCAGATGGGCAGTAAAAGTTGTCAAGGGCAAGCTTTACCTATCAGAGAGAAAAAAATTGAAGTATAACTAAGACTGTGCTTTCCCCCCTCTCTTCTCCCTCCCACCCAAGGTATGGTATTGGGGAGCCTTAGCTCAAGGGAGCCGTGAGTTGAAAAAGTTTGAGAACCACTGCCCTACGCCATTAGAGTGGCCATGGCTGTCAGATGGGCAGTATAAAACAAAATTAGCTGGTGGCCGGTAAATCAAGGGAGCCGTGAGTTGAAAAAGTTTAGGAACCACTGCCTTACATCATTAGAGTGGCCTTGGCTGTCAGATGGGCAGTATAAAACAAAACCAAAGACACAAATATTAGAAGGTGGCTTACATCATTAAAAAAAGACAAACAAAGAAACAAATATTAGAAGGCGGCTTACATCATTAAAAAAATATTTAAAATCAAGAATTGTAAACATACAAATATTTTAAAAGAATTGGACAGATATTATATTAAAAATGGTAAATATAATGAATACTAAAAACACATTTTAAAGCAACAGGGTGCAACAATCCATCTTAAAATCCTTCTCCAGTCACCAAGGAAAAGCCTGCCAGACAAGAAAGGTCTTTATCTGCTTGTGGGAAGGCAGCAAAGAGGTGGCCAGCCTGGCTTCCTGTGGAAGGGAGTTCCAAAGTTTGGGAGCAGTGACAGAGAAGGCCCTCTCCTGTGTCTCCATCAGATGCACCTTTGAAGGTGGTGGGAACAAAAGAAAGGTCTCTCCTCATGGGCTCAACGCCCAGCCAGGCTTACAAAGGGGAGATGTAATTGTTGAGATATTTTGGACCCAAGTTGTTTACAGAGTTTTATAATTTAAAATTGTGTCTGGAAACAGATCGGCAGCCACTGTAGAGCTACTGTAACAGTAGGGTTATGTGACTCTAACTCCCAAAATGCCATAGCCAATGTAGGCAACATCCACACTGGCCGAAGGCATCCAGCAATTCTAGTTCAAAACAGTAATTTTTCCAGGCATTGGGCCCGGCTCTTTTGATTTGGGTGCTACTGCTGTTTAGCTGCTGACGGACGAACTGAAGCCGTTCCCCACGACTGGAATCCCTATAACCCAGCTGCAAAAGGGGTGAGACAATTTCACTGGCTGACTGCTAAGAAGCCACCAGAAGTGTCCATGAATCCCATCACCCCCTTTAACAAGCGACTTTGCAGACTGGCAGGGAGGCAGCTGCTGGGGGTTCGTGGCTCACATTTCCTCCAGAAAGTGCAAAGTCCCAGCTGGACATCATGATGATAGATTTTATGGATTTTCTCTCTCTTCCTTCCAGCCCCACGAGGACCAGGCAGTTAAAAATCCACAATAAGCTGCATTGCTTTAGTATACGGTTAACGTCTCCCCAGCCTAATCCCCTTCCCTTTGTTCTTTGAGAAATCTACTGAATAAGCCACTTGTTTCGCACTGGTGGGGAAATGACACTTTGGGGCCCCCTTTTCTGCCCTGTTTTATGTATAACAGAAGCACAGTATAGTGTATACAGTACCCAGCCAGATGTTGGCCTCCCCCTTTCCCTATTCTGGCTTCTTTTGCTGGGGAAGGAAGTGGTTTGCTTCAACATTAGCTCCTAAAGCCCGCAGCAAAACCTGCAGGATTGCTTCCAAAAGGCTCTGTTATGACAGGGCAAAGGATCGGCACCTTACCGTCAAAGTTACGTTGCATTTCTGCAGGGAGATAACAATCGACGGCTCTCAACAAATGTTGACTAGGAATCTACTGCAATGATTCTTGAGTATATCAGGATATCACGAGAAGTATGTGTAGCTTGGGGGGGGGACATATTCAGTGCTATAATATAATGGCTAATATTATGGTCTTATTTCTAGAGTAGGCCCATGGGCACAATGGGATTTACATAAGAATTTATTTACGTGGTGGCGCTGTGGGGGACGTGGTGGCGCTGTGGGGGACGTGGTGGCGCTGTGGGCTAAACTGCAGAAGCCTATGCTGCAGGGTCAGAAGACCAAGCAGTCATAAGATTGAATCCACGTGACGGAGTGAGCGCCCGTCGCTTGTCCCAGCTCCCACCAACCTAGCGGTTCGAAAGCATGCAAATGCAGGTAGATCAATAGGGACCACCTCGGTGGGAAGGTAACAGCATTCCGTGTCTAAGTTGCACTGGCCATGTGACCACGGAAGATTGTCTTCGGACAAAACGCTGGCTCTATGGCTTGGAAAGGGGGATGAGCACCGCCCCCTAGAGTCGAACACGACTGGACAAAAATTGTCAAGGGGAACCTTTACCTTTACCTTATTTACCATTCATAGTGAATTAAATATCTGTGTGCGGAGCCAGATGTTGGGAAATCACCCCCCCCCCACTGTGCCTCTTGTGACTACAGCAAGCCCTGTGTGGATTTTGGGCAAGCTGCACAGTCCCATGGCACCCCCAATATAATACTAGAATAACCATAGAATAATGGTGTTAGAAGTGGCTTATAAGACAATTGAGTCCAACATTCTGCTTGGTACACGAATCCAAATCAAAAATATAGATAGGAATCTTTTATTGCTGGTCAGCTGGAATCTGGCTTCCTGTAACTTGAGCCTAATATTACGTACCTTGCATTCTAAGATGATGGAGAACATATTCTGACTCTCCTCTGTATGACAGTCTTTCAGTATTTGAAGAGTCCTGTCTTATATCCCCCCAGTCTTGTTTTCTTAATGGTAAACATAGACAGTGGTAAACCTCTCCTGAATATTCTCTACCTGAAAAACCCTGAAAAGGGTCACTAAAGGTCAAAATTGACGAAAAGAAGAAAAAGAAGCAAAGCATGCTGCTTCTATACTGTCCCATAGTGCTTAAAGCAGTATCTGGGCAGTTTACAAGTTAATTACATAGGTTACACATTGACCCTCCTTCCAGTGAGCTGGATAATTATTCTATCAACCTCTGAAGGATGGAAGGCTGAGTATGAGCTGGATAATTATTTTATCAACCTCGGAAGGATGGAAGGCTGAGTGAATCTTGAGCCGGCTACCCGGGATTGAATCTTCGGTCGTGAGCACAGTTTTGGCTGCAGCACAGCAGTTGGCATATAATTATTATTATTCAAAAACACCAGACACATTCAAAATTATAAGAAAATTTTGACTGGTATTATATAACAGGTACAGGTTTTAACCAAAAACCTAAGTATCTGTTAAATATCGGCACGGTATGTATGCCATTCCCAATATTGACATTTTTGTTGATCTGATGGTGTTATTTCTGAGATCTGCAACTGCTTATAGTAGTGTGTGAAATTTCTTGACTGGCTCACAGACCGCGAGCTCCAGAGCAATAAGAAGGAAACACAGAGCCCACGGCAACAGCGGAACGTGAGTGGACAGTCTGGACCCAGAGGGCTGGACCCTCATTATGTTCACCTGTGCGGGGGTATTTGTATATGAATACGAATATCCCCATCTCTAATTTAATGTAACCAAAACACATTCTCACTCTCTCCTTTCCTCTGTTCTTTCATGAACAGACATCTACTGTGGCGGATGGCATGGGTTTTTC